TCTGGGAGTTGAAGTCCACTCATCTTAAAGTGGCCAAGTTTGGACAACACTGCACTAGGTAAACAGGGAGAATGTGAAACAGTGGGGAGGGGGTTCTTTGCTGCCTCACTGGTCAATTTGAAGGCAACTCGTGAACTCATTAGCTGCTTTCGATGTCTCATATCAATGATAGGAAGAGCAATTGTGGGATGGTTGAAAACAGTTGTTGGAATGAAAACAGTGGTAGTATGCAATGTCCTCTATTTCCCCTGGGTTAAAATGGTGACATTGTTTCTTATCATAGCACATGTGTTAATCAGCTGATCAATGCGAAAATATCAACTGCTGAAGGAAACAAAGATGCGTATGTGGTATTACTCTCTCGAGGCAAAGCAACAGATATCTGACGAAGCTGTACAAATAAAATGGTAACTCTTTAAGATGTCACAAGACTATTTGTTATTTTAAGTTTTGTAATGAACTTTGTAAGAATTACTTTAGATACTTTGACATTTAGTTCTGTTCAAAACCCTACTATGAACAGAGAAGGAATTTGTTAAAATCTTTATTTGATTTAAAAATGTATGACTGGGAGCATCAGGGATGATCCAGAGCCAGTGATTTTTCTTTAGGCAAATTATCTTCATGTAACTGCCAATTTTTATGTGTGCGTGTGTGCGTGTGTGTCCTTCCAAAGCAGCTTACAAGCAGTATAAACAATTGTAAGAAAAAAAATACAAATGAAACAATCCACAACAATGGATGTGCAGTCAGCGCCTGAAGCTGGAACGTCCCTGCCACCCCCTCCATTACAGAGCACAGCAGCTGATATGAGGCATAAGATCATGGATAAACAAGCTGCAGTTAACCCTCAAGACTGATTACCAAGGCTCAGAGGAGATGTACCATCAGATAGTATGCTAGAAGATGCCAACAGGGCCCTCACAACAATCCCTACTACCACAGTAACTGAAGCCAATGAACTGGTATATGCTACAGCCGCTGTAATCCTGGAGATGCTTGGCTACACAATCAAGAAGAACAGCAGTACATACCCCCCCCCTCCCGCTCCCTGGAAAATGAGGTTGGACTAAGATCAAGGCAACTCGGGGAGAACTCAGTCAACTGGTGGAACTACAGAAGGGTGTGGAGATTAAGGATAAGACTCGGCTACTGAAAAAATACATGGATCTGACTCCATCTGAAGCCCTAGAGACTGCTAAACAAAGGCTCACAGCACTGACTGCCAGGCTGAGGAGATACACTAGAGAAGCAGAAGCCAAGGATAAATGCCCTGTTCTCCAAAGAACCATCCAAGGTGTACTCCCAGCTGCAGTGCAACAACACAGTAACAGCAGAGCCACCAACAGCGGAAACTGAATAGTACTGGAAGAACATAAAGGAGAAAGAGAAGACACAGTGCAAAGTGTCTGCAGGACCTGAAAGCAGACCACAGCAATCTCCTAGAAAAGAAACCAGTCACTATCACAGTAGCAAACATCCAACAGTGGGTCAAGAACATGAAGAGCTGGACAGCACCTTGCCTGGCCATGATCCACACCTACTGGCTAAGAAACTAACAGCAGTGCATGAACGCCTAGCAGCACAGATGAACCAGCTGCTAGCAGCAGGCTCCCACCCAGCACAAGGAAGGACAATGCTGATCAAGAAAGGCCCCCACAAGGGAACAGCACTGGCCAACTACTGGCCAATAACCTGCCTCCCCACAACATGGAAAGTCCTATCAGGCATCATGGCTGCCAAGCTACAGGACCATATAGGCCAGTAGATGAGCACAGCTCAGAAGGGCATTGGGAACACCAGAGGCTCAAAATGCCAGTTGCTCATAGGTAGAGCAGTCACCTAAGACTCAAAGTCTAGACAGACCAATCTGTGCACAGACTGGATTGACTACAAAAAAGCCTACGACTCAATGCCACACACATGGATCTGTGAATGCCTGGCGCTATACAAAGTCAACAGGACATTAAGGACCTTCCTCAGGAACTCAGTGGGACTGTGGAAGACAACACTAGAAGTCAACTCAAGACAGCTCACACAACTGAGTCATATACCAAGGGGATGGACTGCCCCACTGCTGTTTTGCATAGGTTTGAACCCCCTCAGCCAGATAATCACAAGGACTGGATACAGATACAAATTCAAGAGTGGAACTACCATCAGCCACCTCCTCTACATGGATGACATCAAGCCAAGACTGAACGAGACATTGATTCACTGATCCACCTGACACAGATCTACAGTGAGGACATTGGGTTGTCATTTGGACTGGAGAAGTGTGGCTGGATGGTAGTAAAGAGAGAGAATGTAGTTAAGACTGATGGGGTGGAACTACCAGTGGGCCATATAGCAGACATACAGACCAGCTACAAGTACCTTGGTATCCCACAGTCACATGGGAACCACGGTGGATGAGGAGGCAAGGAAGACAGCAACATCCAAGTACCACCAAAGGATAAGACAGGTCCTGAAGAGCCAGCTCAATGGGAAGAACAAGATCCATGCCATCAACATGTATGCCCTGCCAGTCATCAGATACCCTGCCAGTATAGTGAGCTAGCCAAAGGAGGATATGGAGGCTGCTGATGTGAAGACCTGGAAGCTCCTCACAATGTACAGAGGTTTCCACCCCAAACCAACACCCAGAGATGGTACACCAGCCAGAAAGAGGGTGTGCAGGGTCTGGAGAGTATCAAAGCCACTGTCCTGGATGAAACCCAGAGCATCCAGGAGCACATCAGTAAGATGGCACCAAAAGATGAGCTGCTGACAGAATGGCTGAGGCAGCAGCAGACACGGGAGGAAGTTCGAGTGGAGGAAGTGCCATGGCAAGACAAACCCCTGCATGGGATGTATCATCGACAGATAGCTGAGGTGGCTGACACTGGGAAATCCTACCAGTGGCTGGAAAGGGCTG